ACATTTAAAAGCAATATTGGTGGTATAATGTAGTATTAAACAAACATGGTTTAAACAAAGTTCACAAAAGTTAGAATTCAAAAAAAAGGAATAATTTCTATGAAAAATCCAATAATTTCCTTTAATCATAGTTAAAAACATCTAATTCTTTTACAAATCCCCTATACCGAAATACAACAGGCTATTTAATAAATATTCTTACCTGTACTTCACACCAAATGTTTCCATAATATATGCAATAACTAAAGCAGCACTGAAAACAGATAAATAAACAAGGTAAGATATGTTGGTCATGCCTCATCAGTGTTTTTTAAAATGTGAATTTTTGTTACCTTCTAGAAATCCCTGCGTTCCCATGCACAAGAACTTTTCCTGAGAATGAAGAAAGTTACTTTACACTGGCTATATAGCATTTCCTCCTCTTGTATTATATTATTTACATTACAGTACACAGTACCATTTATCTGCAAGATTCACAAGAGGGTTTGTTAAGGTTGAACATAATATCAGAATACTTGGAAATTGTAACCCCCATCCCTCAGTACGATTAGCATGGCAAGTGGGAAATCTGCTTGGGCCATCTATTTGTGAAATAGTAGTAAGGTGTTTACCCCGTTTGTGACAAAATGAACACTTACTTCCAGCTGCCACTGTAGATGCAAATAGAAGGGAAGCATAAACACAGCCTCTACTTGGATATAGAAAGCTAACACTGGAGGTTTTTAAGAAGAAACTGGACAGCCACTTGTCTAAAATGGTGTAGAGTCTCCTGCTGGAGCTGGGGGCTGGACTAGAAGACCTCCAAGATCCCTTCCAACTGTTGCTCTATATTCTGATTGTGTGAACATATATACACACAATATTATGAGCTATCTTGGGGATCAACTGATAAACACTATATAAATTAAATCAGGGGTTTATTAAAGTTTTCAGCGATTGAATTTGTTCATTTAAAAAAACCAAACTCTTGATCTGCAAAATTGCAGCCAGTTTTTTCATGGGAAACAAGCTCTGTTCATTTCACTATGCTTCTGAAAAATTGCTATGGACATCCCAGCTGCGTTCCAATGACCTTGCTCCACCCTTAGTCTCCCATGGAACCCCCATCACATTCTTATAGGATTCCATGGACACAGCTTGAGAAACCCTGATCCTACAGTAAATCACAAATCAAGATCAACTAAATGTCAGCAGTAATACCATATACATTTTAAGCTAGACACAGACTTCTGGGCTAGGAAACTTTGTTCTGTTTTATTGGTAAAGGAAGGCTACAGGATTATATCATGTAGTCATCTGTTCAAATTAGCCTCTAAGGCAAAGATTGGCAAATATTAAACCACTGGGGAAAACAATTCAGCCTTTCTAGAGAACTGCAGAGAACATCCAGTGACACTAGTGCAAAGGGCACGGCTGTCAATTTTATGGTGGGAAGGACAGGTTAAAAATGGAAATAAGAACATTAGGTCATATTCCTATCCTTACAGAAACATGCCATCTTTGAAAGACTGTAATATTGCTAACATCAAGATAAAATTTGGAGACCTCTGCCACCCAAGAAAACATCCATGCACAAAACATAAAGGCCAGGGGGAGGGGGAAGGATGACTGTTATCACAAAGCATCCATTGTGCCACTAACATTCAACAATACCATGGGGCTACAAATGGGCAGGGCGTATAAGTGGGTGGGGAGGGCCCCATGCAGTTCATGCAGTGCCCATCTTTGCTCTAAGGCATCATGACATTAAAAGTTAATGCATCCTTATATAATGATAAGAAACAATTTGTTCCCTAAAGTATTTGATTTGGGGGGGGGGGGGGGGAGAAACTATTCAGGTATCAGAAAGTTATCAAAGTTGTTAAAAAGGAAAAACATGATATAAACCTATAAATAATAATGGCTATTCTATGACAAAGTATTCTTATATACCTTGAATCTCTATATATTTAATATGAAAAGCTACAATCTGTCCAATTTTCAGGCAAACAATTTAAAATACATACCTCCCGTTTGTAAACTCCCATCAATAAACTCCTTAGTCTAAAGAAAAAAAAATACCATTTCTTTTCCAATTTATTAAACATGCTTACACTGATAGAAACAATCAGTTTTATTATATCTTATTGAAGTAACTTCTGCACAAAAAGTTAATATTATTCACAAATCATAATAATTATTTACAAAAATGTAATGTTAGCAATTGCCTATCTTCTTTATATTTTATTTAAAATGATTCTTGACAGGGCATAATACAAAAAAACAAATGCTTTATCAAACTGCATTAAAATGATTACTTTCAATAATAATCTGACTCAAAGTACATCTATCATAAAAAACTTCTCAGGTTTTAAAAAAACCACACAGGTATTATTACAGAATGCAATAAAGTTTGTAGGAAACTCCAATTACCTCCATCCTCTAAAAATTGTTGGAAATGCAATAACCAGATGTGATTAACAACATACTTTATATAAATTGGGGGGGGGGAACTGAGCATATTTAATTAATGGTGGCTTGAGAGGGGAAATTAAATGAAGACAACATTACTGTGATAATGCATGCAGCATGTATAAAAGGAGCAATTTGCATTGCATCATGTTGATAAAATTACCGGATCATGCAAACACCTGATTTTTTTTTTTAAATGTAATGCTACAGAGTGAAAAGGAGATGCATCTTACACATATCAGCATAGAACCCAATAAAATCTGTGGACACTTCCAAACTCCTCCAAATAAATTTTAGATTTATGATTGTAATAGTTTTTGTTATATATACCAATTTTATATTAACTCAGTTATGCATGCAAGTACATTACAGAGCACAAAAAAATAGCATTGCTATAATTGGACTGAAAGTTGACCAACATCTTAATTTTGTCTGCTTCTTGAAGCATTTTTATTGTTGCTTGTTAAGAGTACTGCTAATTGTTTGCTTTTATTATTCATGATGTTACAATACAGGCCAACATTCTGCAATTTCTACAGCCTCTGGAATCATCCTCTACTGCAGGGGTCCCCAACCACCGGTCCGCGGACCGGTACCGGTCCGCGGAACAAGTCCTACCGGGCCGCTGGCTTGCTGGGCGCCGCCATCTTTTTTTGATGAAAAAGTGCTTCCGGTGAGCTTTTCCGGGTAGAAAGCTCACCGGAAGCACTTTT